ATATCCTCACTTACAACTTTAGTTCTCATCCTTGTTGCTTCTGAGTTTTGCTTATCCAAACTCAGGATTTCCCATTTTCGATGTCCTTACGATATATCTCACTTATTTTCCGCAAACGTTGGATACTTTCTTGTGAAAATCACTATATCGCAAACAAAATTGTTAAAGCAAGCTTCCTTTTTCTTTTGATACAGGAGGAAATTGAAAATATTGCATTGTTTTACCCCTTTATATCTCAGTTATCTTTAACTTATCGGGACAGTTGAAACTGTCGCTTCTACATGTTTTCACGTACAATTCAGTGGCATATAGTCAGAATAAGCTGTTATTTTTCAGATATGATCCAAAGTTATGTTTTTTTCAATGGAACACCCTGTATATTTTTTTATATTTGAAACAGTGATGTTCTGCGCTTTCTGAAAATACCCCATGAGAAATTTCAAGAATAAGCCATGAATGTAGATAATTTCAAGTTCTCCACTAGATATTTCATCGATGGACTTGTTAATATGTGACAATATTGTCCATATCACGGATTTTCATATTTACCCCGTTGCTGATGCAGTATAACACACTTGTTTCAATTTTACCATACAGTGAATTATTTCACCAACATCTACCAATATTTAGCACTATTTATTGACTATGAAAGCAGCGTGGACCCAATTCAGTAGGTGGCTATGAAAAGCGAGTGCAGAATGTTTCATGATCTTTGTCACCTACCTGTCATACGATGGCAAATGATTATCCAGGATATCAGAACTACGAACATTTAAAAACCAACTCATATACCAACCATAGCCAATTTTTTGTGGAGTTTCATTTCCTGGATTAGTCTTCACCACGGTATTATAATTTGAGAAGTCAACAGGATTGAAAAACATTCTATACACTCGCTTTTTTTTATAGCCACCTACTCATAAGGTCCAAAGCTTTCATAGTGAATAAATAGTGCTGAATAACGAAAAATTGTGTCAGCAATAAGGTGAATATGAAAGCTTGAGATATGGACAATGTTGCCACATATTTATTCGTGACAAAGTCCATCTGTTCACAAACGACATTCTGAGTGTGCTTACGTATGCCTTGAGAATGAAGATGAAAGAAGGAGACACACTGTCTTAAGGAGATATAATAAAAATAGAACTATTGTAAACTAAAATAACTACACAGCTTCACGCAAAATGACCTTGAAAGCTATTCGCACTGAGAAAAAAAAATTATGTTTCTAGTGTGAATATTCAAAATAAAAGTCGGAATACGTAGAATACTCTAAGAGATCTGAACATAAAATCAAGAAAAAACATTATCCCAAATAATTTAAAGGATGCCCATGGGATGAATGAATGAATACTGGTTCGGTTTTTCAAAGAGAACGTTGTTATGATTTTTTATTCCATCATAATCAAATAGATAGCAATTTCCCTGAAGTTTTCGAGTTCAGACTTGCTAGCATCAGGAAGTTACTAATTTTTCACTTAGTATTAAGTCTAATGCGTGTGGATCCGATGAAATTACTTTGCCAATGTTGAAGTACACTGCATTCCTTTCATCGGCCCCTACTTAACTTATATCGTCAATGTCTGTTTTTTTTTCCTGAGCAATGGGAGACCTCAAACATTTAGCCCATCTTCTTATTCAGATTTTTGCGCAATAAGTATTTTAACAACCATCTCGAAACTGCTAGAAAAGGTCATATACAAGCAGATTGAAGAATATGTGACAGAAAAAAAGCTTTTGCCTACTACACAGCCTGGCTTCAGACAAGGTCATAGTACAGCAACTGCCTTAGCTAACATTGTGTACGATGTTGTCAGAGCCTCTGATAGAAATTTCGTTCCGATTCTGGACCTCCTTGATTTTTCTAAGGCGTTTGACATACTATAAACCACAATCTGCTATATGTGCCAAACTTGAAAAATAAGGATTATTTGCTAATCCCGTGGAAATCATTGAGTCATATCTGTTTAACCGAGAGCAAAAGGTAGCGATGAACAGCAAGGTTTCATATTCCTTGGGGCCATTGCCTTTCATCATATAGGGTGAAGATTTTTACTAGCTGCATACACGTAACTGATCAATAGAATGAAGAGATTTTGTATGTCGTGTAAAAATTTTTATTATAAATTGCAAAGCGCTTTCGGCTAAAAAGCCATCATCAGTGCTATACCTGCAAGTAAGTAACATTTATGAAATTTCAAAAATCAAATCGAAAAAGGTAGATTACTTACTCGTCAAGTATTAACAAAAAGGTCCAAAAATTAGTGATCACCGACATCATTATGGTACAAACGGGATTAGGAACAGTTTGAACACCAGGACTCTTAAGTCTTGATTGGAAACTCTTTTCTCTCAATTTTACTACAAAGGTTTACTCTTTGGCCTGGATTGAAGTCCACTTCATCTTATTTTACTTTTCAGAATGTTTTCGAAATTTTTAGACAGTTTTCTGCTCACCTTGTCAATTCTTTCCCAAGCGCTTTTTTCATTATGTCATTCGTCTACTTCATACACATGTCAACTAAGTCATAGACATTGACACTCACATTCTCCAGAATAAATAAGGTTAAGGTCCCTCGTGCTATTTCTGGACTTGAACAAAACAATCTCAACATGTATTTTTGAAAAATTTTACAATAACCCATCTGTTCCTAATCCCGTTTGTACCATAATGATGTCGGTGATCACTAATTTTTGGACCTTTTTGTAAATACTTGACGAGTAAGTAATCTACCTTTTTCGATTTGTTTTTTGAAATTTCATAAATGTTACTTACTTGCAGGTATAGCACTGATGATGGCTTTTTAGCCGAAAGCGCTTTGCGATTTATAATAAAAAATTTTACACGAAATACAAAATCTCTTCATTCTATTTTTCATCATATATACTGCCGATCTGATGAATAAAATACAAAAGTACAAAGTTTTGCTGATGATACTCAACTTATATATCATTTCGTACCAGACCAATATCACATAGCCGAATATAAAATTAATTATGATTTGGAGAATATAAGGCTGCTATCAGATGAACAAATTAAAGTTGAATACGTCAAAGTCTATGTACATACTCTTCATTGATGAAAAGATGGAGCATTTCTAAAGTCAACTAAGTATTAATATTGGCGAAGATTCTGTTTCATACTTCAAAACTGCACTGAGGGAAAACATTTGTAGCCGTTACTAAAAAATTAGTAACTACAGAAATTTTTTTTAGTACGATAGGGGACAGCAAGCATTAGTTGTTGCCATAACTAATTATGTTTTTCTGGAAACGCCTATTTGCCTCGAATGAAAAGTTTAGTTGAGTCATCTACGACGTTGTTGTGGTAACTAATAAGCCTTTTTGAGGAATAATACCAAGTTTTATTTGCCACAATCAAGATACATAGTTATGACAATTAGATTGTTAGTACTGTTTCAATATATGTTTGTTATCACAACAAATTATCCCAGTTGGAGCAATTACTCATTTCTTCTGACAATAATAGTGAGTGTGTTGTTGCAAATTACATATTTAATTGTGACTGAAATGGAATCTAGTTACTATTAAAAGTGATTTAGTAACGTTTGAAATATGATTTAGTTATTCTGGCAACTTGATAGTTTTATATCAAATGAAATCAAGGCCCCATTCTAATAATAACAGTTTGTATGCCATTTTCCTTCCAATTTCCAATGGAATCGTGAACAGGAATACACCACACACCATAAGTGCCACAGGCCACAGCTCAGCAAAAAGAGAGGGAATTATAAATATACACCGTGTACACGTGACGTCGGATGGACTTTTCTCGCCGTCGCCCTTCGTAAACTGAACTGAATTGTGAATAGGTACCTAAACCTGATAACTAGTGACGCACAGATAACGATGGTAAACGGCGAATTATTATTTTGCCAACCAAATGCCAAATGACTCAGCGCAAAGTGCAAAAAAACACAAAACAGTGATTTGAAAACACACAGAGCAGTGAACCAGCAAGAACACGACCACCTGTGACACGACGCTCCCGGCTACACTAGACAATTATTTTATTTATTTTGTCTAAGCTCGACGACCGTGCGATCTACCCACTATTAAGATACAAGTTCAAATGATGAAACAGAAAGACAAACAGATGCAAGATGCAATTTTTGCCGGTGGGTCCCGAAGAGACGCGAGGTGGTCCCGAACGACGCAGTACAACTAAAATTATTAGTTATGGCTAAACAATTTCTGCTATGAATAATGATAAACCTTTCACGATAAATGTGTCATCAGTTGTGGCAAATAGTCAGCTGTTGTTAGTAACCCCAGAATGAGGTTTTTTAACCCCAATATGAAATTTTAATTGACTGAATAGACAACACTGTGATAATTGTGTCACAAATAGTATTTTTATTGATGACAAATAATTGGCGAAAAATAGAAAAGTCATTTGTAGGAAATAAGGATACGTTGTCATTGTTAATAAAATTCCTAATATTTTTAATTATCGGTACTAAAAAAATACCAACTAGACGTTTTAATTAACCAGTTTTTCTCAGTGTGTGAAGTCCTTGGGTATATCACAATAAAAGCTCTTTGCAATTCGAAATTATTGTCAACTAATAGACCAATTTTGGATAAAAAGCTCAAAATCAGGCTGCTCTAGTGCTCTCTTTCTTCAAATGTTGTTGTTACGTCTATAGCCCATTTTTAGACGTCACTCAAAAAAACAAAATCTGCTGACGCTGTCATTTCGGAAGTCACCGAAATTCGTTCACAATATCTGTACATTGGTGGAATGGTTTGCAATTTTGGTTGACTCAACAGTAATAAATGAATGCGTGGTTACGTTAAACTGGAATCCACCAAAAAATATATGCACACAGTTGGTGGATTGGAGGAGCCACCGGTGAATAAAAGATAATAATAATAATAATAAATCAACTATATTCATCAAACCGAAAGGTGTTTGTTGAAGAGGTGGAGTGTCAGCAGAAGCTGTTTTTCAACTCAACCTCGTCCCTTATTTCCAGGTTTGTTCTCGTCCAGCCACATGGACTACAACCTTGAACGCGACCGGGACTCGGATCCGTCTCTAGCCGAGATGACGGAAGCGGCCATCAGAGTCCTATCTGGGGGCGACGAGGGCTTCTTTCTGTTCGTGGAAGGAGGTAGGATCGACACCGCTCACCACGACACCTTCGCGCAGAAGGCTCTGGACGAGACGGCGGAGTTCTCGAAGGCCGTCCAGATGGCGCTGGAAATGACGGATGAAGAGGTACGTTATCAATAGAATAGAGAGTTAAAGTGCGGCCATGAACGATAAAGTGAACGTACAAATTAAAAGATATACATGCGCATTTTCCTATTCTTCACGTTTGCTTTGATAGTAGGCTTACGGGTGTACGTTATCAAACGTATACTTCGACGTATACCTTGAATATCAACGTACGTTAACCAAACTATACTCGAAATATGCCAATGAGTCCAATTTATCAAATTCGTGATTCCCAAGGACTTCTTCATCAAGGAGTCGTCTCATTTCAACACGAATAAATGTTCAGATCTGAACAAACAATCAGAAATGATATAAGTAAACCTAAAACTGAATGTATCATCACGTTAAGATGACAGTGACGGCTAAAGTGACGACTTCAATTCAATTTAAAGACAATACGTAAACGGCGTTATGTTTCGTACGTCAACATTCACATGGACGTATACAGTGATTACATCAACTCTTAAATAGCACTGCTTCCAAGGATGCCATTTCAGTGTATACTAGGCTGGGGCCATGTAGCCGTGCGGACAGCGAGTGTCTATATTCTAATTCGCATTCGCTTGCCGGTCGTGGGTTCCATTCCCATCGACTGCAGACATTTTTCTGATGGCCCAAGGAAGTGTTTGGGATCACACGTTAAAAGGTAAGGCCCCCGTCATTCCTTGCTCGCACAAGACTTTCGAAGACTTCCGAGGGTTGCTCGTAAGGGAACAACCGAATGACGGATGGAACAAAACAAAACAAAACAGAACTAGAGGGGGGAGAAGGAACTGAGAAATAAATTTTTGTTTGTCATAAACTGCGCCGCAGTATTGAATTCGAACGTCCTATGGACGTCCTAAGGAGAACCATGGGACATAATTGTGCTATTAGGGCAAGCTGTATTTTTAGCAAGCTCGTAATTGACACCGTTGGCAAGTCATCGTCGTGATTGTATAGTTTCCTGGGATGCAATGGATATTCTAGTAGATAACGCAGTTTGAAGAGTATCGTCATCTACAAACCTGTGGATATGTAAGTGGTTCTTCCCAAAAAATCATTGATATGGAATAAGAACGGTACAATGTTGTCCCAAAATGGGTCCCTGTGGGATGCCAGAATTGATGAATATGGTATCTCGATGAAAGATGGTATAGCTAAGGTGGTGAGCCGTAACATGGTAGTTGGTCGAGAAGTCCTTGGTGATAAACATGTCAGAATGCTTCCGATATATCTAACGCCACAGCTAGAGCAGATTCATCATATTTCGCTACTGAAGCTTGCTATATATGAGTACCTTAGACAAATCAGTCCCCAGCTGTTCTTCGATTGCGAGATCAATATTGCCATAAAGCCATTTTTGATTCCTGAACTTTCCAGATGTTTGATGAGCTCAATAAATCTGATGGCTCTCTTCATCATTTTGGATATAATTGGAAACAAAGCGAGAAGCCCATAGGTGCTGGACAGATTGTTCTTCTCTCAATAAATTTTGAATTTATTAGTTAGGACTTAATCACACAAGTGTATCATGAAGAATCCATGTGGCACTTTCTTGGGAAATGAGATATTTCAGTGGCCGGAAAATTCATGAGCACAGACCCATTCTTGCCATCACTATAAGTCGTACAGAGTGGACATCAACGAATTCTATTCATATATTCGATTTTAAGATTAGTTCATTGAAACTTCTTTTGTTTTAGAAGTTTGATAACCATATTATGAATCACCCTGTATATATCAACAAAAAATGATTGACATGATGGATACAAACCTCTTTTTTGAATCCAAATGCAAAAATATTTATGAATATTCATCCATACGGAAGTCGCATGGGCGGAACTAGCTAATGTTAGAGAAACAGTTCAAATGAATCTGGTTATCTTATTTCACGCATATAATGTGATGAACAAATAATGGCGGTAGAACCAGAGATCATTTTGGATTGTTTCCGCTTATTGAAACGTCAAGATGTTTTCTCAACACGTAATAAAATATCACAGAGAGTAGATTGCCATGAATTAGTTCAAACTGACTTATAATTTGACTCTCCCAAGGATACCTTGATTGTCGTCACTTCCGATCATGCGCACACGATGAGCTATGCGGGGTACGCTGGCAGAGGCAGCGACATCTTCGGGTATGCTGGAGAAGCAAGCGACAGGAATTTGTACACCATCTTGAACTACGCCAATGGACCAGGTTACAGACCTTTGATGGAGACGGGGCAAAGATCGGTGCCTACAGCAGACGAAATGAGTAAGTTATCTGAATTACAGAGATTATAGGTTGAGTTCCATGTGAGTAGAATCATCTGTTTATCGCTATAAATCAGTATGGAAATGGCTATTCCAATCTGATATCAAGATATCAAAGCCGTACTTATTTCAAAAAATGAAGTGGAAGATGTTTGCTCATACGAAAGGTTGGATCGGAAAAACAGGTATGTCAAATTGAATAACCAACATCAAAAGTTGCCATGAAGATTGCCATCATGCTTTGTAACTTCGATAACAACATCAGGAAAATATTGAAAACCCAGAAATTCAGTTTATAGAACAAAACTAAGAAACGAAAAATTCAATCGCCCAACATTTCTCACATTTAACCAGCTTGTAGTTTTTTATATACCCATACTATCCAGTGTATACAATAATTTTACGCTTTGGAAATATTTCACTAGTTGGTTATTTTGTGAGTTTGTTTCGTAATGAACGGTTCACTTCAGTCCCTGTTTCAGGAAGTGTGGGATATATTTTAGTCCTGGAGGTGTGAAAGGGTGTTTACTACATTAGTCCCATTTCAGACGTAAAGTTAATTCAGGTTCTATTTTCTTCAACTCTTTTCATAGAATCTTCACTAAGAAAGTGACTCAAGTCCAATATGAGAAAAGAAAATATTCATCAAGCTGATCGTATTCTATTTCTTGATTCGATGATGGGACGTACTATTCAATATTCAATTTATAAAGGGCTAATTCATTATTCCAAATTTTTTGGGATTTTCTCTCCTCGTTTCTATAAAATAAAAATATGAATATCATTTCAATATACGTGTAGTAAGGACAAATCAGATGATTTGCCCCAAAATGTCACTGCGTTTAAAGAATTTTCCTATCAGAGAGCCTAAAAGAAAAATTCACTAGCTTGTCAGTGACAATTTGTATTGAACAATTTTTGGAGAAGAGAAATAAAGGTATATAGAAAAAATATCAAATTTTCACTTATCTTTGGACGTTTCGGGACCGATTCTGCTCCCGTTTTCAACATAAAGAGATTTTTTCAATTGCGAAGTCGTATTATATGTCTTGAAGCTTTTCAGTTTTCAATGACAATTGGTGACGTTGGCAATCAAAGGAGTTACAGGATGTTTCCATTAATTGATCTTGAATTTACCATTTTCATGTTCAGATTTTAGTAGTGAATACCATGTTCTGTCTATATCAACTGAACAAGAAGCAATGCTATTGTCTCCGTTCAGAAGAATGCAAGCAGATTCCTTGATTTTCCTCTTCTGGTTGTTATCTTCTTTTCCAATGATTTTAATATTATTATTAACTGAAAAGCTTCAAGACATATAATACGACTTCGCAATTGAAAAAATCTCTTTATGTCGAAAACGGGAGCAGAATCGGTCCCGAAACGTCCAAAGATAAGTGAAAATTTTATATTTTTTCTATATACCTTTATTTCACTTCTCCAAAAATTTTTCAATACAAATTGTCAATGACAAGCTAGTGAATTTTTCTTTTAGGCTCTCTGATAGGAAAATTCTTTAAACGCAGTGACATTTTGGGGAAAATCATCTGATTTTTCCTTACTACACGTATATTGAAATAATATTCTTATTTTTATTTTATAGAAACGAAAAGAGAAAATCCCAAAAAATTTGGAATAATGAATGTACCACCTCCTCGATTAACCTACAGACAGTATATAAAGGGCTAAACCATTATATCCTAAAAAAAGTCAGAATGATTAATATAGGAATGGGTGCTCACTTTTTCACTCTCACAAGTTGGCGCTACTGAACCATGAGGTCAATGTCAAAGTCAAAAATCTCACAATTTTGCCAGATAGCCCTTAAGACTATGGTCTGTTCTAGAGTCCCTGTATATACCTAAGACAAGAGTCCGGACACAAAACTGACAGCCGTTGGGGTTTTTAATATTTTGTTTCATTTGGTTTGCCCACCTGACAATGTGACGAAACACCATAGTCGTCCCGCCCGCTTCTTTAAATTATTTCGAATTTCTGTCACTGTCACTTCGAAATTTATGACTGCCAAAATTTTGCGTTTTAAATTATTCAATGTCCTGCTGCGAACATTATTGAGATAATTCATTGGAAAAGGGATGCAAGTTATTCAATTTTCCGAATGATCCTTTAAAGATAATGTCATGGTAGAATGCAATGAAACGTCCAGAATGGAAAATTAATTTCAAGAAATCCGCAATATGTGAGGTGAATATTCAAATTTACTTGTAAAAACAGTACAAAAAAGATGAATTTTATGCCCATTTTGATAGAGATTCTTTCGAGCTGATGGATTTCAAATTGAAAGAGTCTGCTGTGCCGTCAATTTATAAAATACAGACGTTCAAAAAAAGAGTTCCGTCGTCATCGTTTTGGGAATTACTGAATGCATCGCATCGATCGCATAGAAAGAAAATGGGAATGAGATGATGCGGAAAGAAATTGAAAATTTGAAATCAAAAGTAGAAGATTTAGAGAAATTGCATTGTCCCTAATGTTAGATCAATATAAAAATCAATGTTTTATAATGCATATAGGTAATAGGTATATATTATATTGTATTGATTTTGTCACATTGATTTCTGCTGAGTGTTATTGAATTGAGAGAATCGGAGAAAATTATATTGAAACAATTATATATATCTTCTATTTTTTTATATCCCAACAGAAAACAACTATATTTGCTTGGCCACGTAGAACACTTAAATTATCTTACTCATATCTAATGAAGTGACGAAATATATGATGAAGAAACCTTGCAATAGCCATCTCAGGAATTGATTATGAAAATTATCGATTCGAAATTTGAACACCCTGTTGTTCATTATTTGAAAATCAAATAGTTATTCTATAGTCAAAATTGTCCTATTTCTCACTTCTACCTACGGCTATGAACGGTTTGACAAATAATCTAACCATCAAAATTGTTTACTGACAATCTCCTGACAATCATTGATACTAGGGGAATTGAAGAGACAGAGCTCGATATATATGTCTTATTCCTTTATTCAATCATCAATGCATTTTTTGAAAACAGAAAAGGACAGAAATATAGCTGTGTCCGGACTCTTGTCTACACAGAGAAAAACGTTTCTTTGCGTGAAACAATCTCATTTGTTTGACTTATATTTGTTTGCAAGAAATAAATGTTATTTGCGAGAAACAATTGTTATTTCTTAAAACCAAATCAAATTCTTTCTTTGAAATTATCGGTTCATTTGAATGTCATTTGTTTGGGTGAAACAATAGCATTTGTTGGAAATATATTTATTTCGTAGGAATAAATGTTACTTGAAGCAAATAAATATTATTTTGAACAGAAATATCACATTGTTGGCAAAAATTAATCTTGATATAAATATGACCAATTGATATAGTTGTCATGCACAAACAAAAAATTTGTATTTAAAAAATACCATTTGAACAGAGCGAGTGTGTCATTCACCTCGAATAAATGCTTATTGAAAATACATTATGGAATTCGTTTTGTATCTCTGATGTGGTTCGCCGGGTCGTATCGTATACAGTGGTGATTTAGTATAGTTAATTCCACAGCATATTTACAGATTTTCACTATTCTCTTAATGTGTAGTGATGGATTTTTCAGAAGAATGCCATTTGGGTCATCTGGTCCCCATTTTCAGAGGTAAGAAATTGTAATTCATACTTGAAAATCGAAATAATGGCGTGAAATTTTTTATGATTTGTTGATTTCCTGATGTTCCCATACCGATCTCCATCAAAAAAACAAACCGTGCAATTTGGTAGGTCATAGAAGGATGTACGAATAGGTAGGTAGGTATGTGCGATATTTCGTAAATTATTATACTTTCTAATCTGCTGTATATTGAAATATTCCAGTGAAATGGCGTTCAAATTCTTCTATGATTTTCAATGGAAGATTCCATGCAGTCAAATAAATATTTTTTTCATTCAAATGTCACCAGCTTCACTTGAAACAAAATATTTGTTTCCATGAAACAAATGATAAATACTTTGTTAAATGTTCTGATTCTATATCAGCATCTTCAGGAATCACCCCTTGACTTTTTTCGGTGTTATTCAGATATACCCTGTATAAGTATTTTGAGATATCATGTAACTATGTAGAGAAAATAATCACTAGAACAAGAATTATCACAGCTCTTTTCTTCATATAAAAAATTGTCATCAAAATGCACATCAATGTTATGGAATTTTGATTTCCATGTTATGCATATATATAATTCATGTATTTCCGCATTAAAATATACTAAACTTTCAGGAGAGCAATGAGAAATCTGCTACGTCTATCATTGATGTGAATACTCCAGTGATTTCCGAAAACATTTTTATTGATGCTGATGCACCGGATGATAGAGCCAAATATTTTAGGTTGGATACAAAAAACAGCGATCAACCTGCTTCAGGATCATCATGTATCTTGACTTCTGTAGTATCGAACCCAAACAGTGTGTCTGTCACATTTTTTCTATTATTCAATAAAGTTTGTTATAGTTCAATTTTGTTGTTAATTCTCAATTCCTTCCAAGAGGAGTATTGTTTTCTTAGGAAGATTCTATTTCTTTGAGCTTATTAATTTTTGATTTCGTTCAAATCTACAATTTATTTCTGGTAAGGAAATCCATTATTTGAGCTTGTTTCTTCCAAACAATTTCCTTGTTTTTCTCAAGCATTGACATCTTTGAATCAAATTACATTTACATATATTTATTTTTTACAAATTATCAATTGTTTCTTCCAAAGAATGTTCTTGTTTCTGTCAAGCTCTGATTTCTTTGATACAAATTTCATTTACATATATTTATTCTTCACAAATAATTATTTATTTCTTCCAAATAATTTCTTGTTTCCCTCAAGCTTTCATTTCTTTGATGCAAATTATACTTATTCACTATGAATAATTCTGATCATAAATCCAAAGAAATAGTTTTGATTCAAACAAATATACACTTTCTTCCAAATTATAAATCATATCATTTCCAATAAATTATATAGATACAAAAAAATCACTTATTTGAAAAATCAAAAGAATGGAAACTTTGATTCAACCAAGCTTGTTTGTTGGACCTATTCAAACTTCGGATTTCTTTGAATTTAACAATATTTGTTAAATTCAAAGAATTATTTTTCTCTGTGTAAGTTATATACAGGGACTCTAGTCTGTTCTATCGAGAATATTCAAAAAACATTGTGAACAAAGAGAAAACTTCAAGTTATGGAAAGAACTTGAGCAGACCTACGTTCTTTACTCTCAAAGTGGAACTTCACGACCAATTCTTCCATTGACGGAGAAGAAGATATCGTAGGAAAAGGCTAAATGACACAAGAAGAAGAAGCATTTGTATCAGTTCTACCAACTATGACCTCACGTTTCAGTAACGCGATTTGATGGACAATAAATAATGTCAACATTCATTGATCACTGATGAGCAACGTTAATTCTCTTCACTCTCAAATCAGCACAGCCGATTAGCCGCCGGTCTGTTGGATCTCATCAGAGCGTTGCCAGTTTTTGCACAGGCGTTCATTATCTAGTGTACAGAGGTATATGCTGGCTCGTGAAAGATGACCGGTGGAAAGAATGCAACCCAGAGCATGATACAAATGTTCCGATCATCAACTCATTGTCAATTTGAGAACAGAATCCCAAGCACTCGCGTGAAATGGTGGTATCCGTTCAAAAGTGCAGTCGGTCATATCGGTCGTGACTCAATTAAAGCGACGTAATCTCCAAAACCGAATCGTGTAGATACTCTAAGCTCAGCGAACTGAACGTCTTCATCCTCTTCCTTCCGTCCCCACTCTTCTTTGGCGAGTCAAACTATATTTCCTCTGCTTTCCTGTTGTTGAGTCAATTATATTTCAGTTTTGGTTGCATACAAAATTGCATCTTTCATACTTCAATGAGATCGAAAGTAACTTGCAAATTATGTGTGCTCGGCTTTGCTATAACTTCGCCTTGCAAATTTTAAAATTCTTGTCAGTGTCTTTTGAACCTGATGGAAACATGTGATGTTAACGACAAATTCCAAATCACCTCGTTAATGAAACGCCTAGGAATGCCTTGCCACAATAAGCTAGACTCATTGGTTTCGTAACCATCATGCGGTCGATGCAGATAGTTATTCATCAGCTTCAGAACGATCTTTGGTAGAAGTCCATATTGCTCAAAGTGGAGTGAAATATTCCAAAAGAAGGAAGGAAGGAATGCTCGAAGTAATTTCCATAAATTTCAATGATGTTGTTACATGATCATAAGGGACATGTTTTGGTCTTATAAAAGACCGCTGAAGACCACCTTCAGTCTACTTGAAAGTTTTGGAGTTGTGAACAATTGTTTTGATGCTACTTTTCCTTGAATTGTTATCGATGCCCATAGCCAAGAATTCAAATATTCGATAAAAAAAACGCATTCTCAATAAATCAAGGGCTCCGTGCCCTGAGAGCGCATACTATTATTTTAATTGAAAATTCCATATACCATTCTGGTATACTTTGAGCATTCCTTCCTTCCTTCCTTAGCATCAGAACGAACCAGTCGTCGATGTATTATTTCATCAACGGTCATCGTAGTACAAATTATCCTGACTGAGGGTGTTCAAGTGTGGAAAATGTGTCTATCTACGATTCCTCAAGTAAAAATTTAACAGTGCCTTTTATTCTTTCAGATCAAGTCGGATTCAAATGGCCGTCCACATATCCTTTGCAATCAGAGACCCATGGCGCCGATGACGTCGGGGTGTACGCACGTGGTCCCTGGTCGCATTTGTTCACAGGCGTTATGGAGGAGAACGTTTTGCCGCATCTGATGGCGTTCGCAGCATGTGTAAGCAGAGAGCTGCCATGTGATAGTTCCAAGAAGGAAGCTTAGATTTTCGTTGTCGAAACAATTCAGGATTTTTTCCACCACTAGCTATAGAACTTACCATTTTCAAGGCGTGAAGTCTGTTTTCTCTACCAAGATAGCATTCGACATTTTATGAACAACTAATCAATAGAGGCACAGCCACCTCTGATAAAGACAGCCCGTTCTAATGCGAGATTCGTAGGAATAGCACTAGATTCTAGTAAAGTGAGTAGACTGGAGAGAGTGGCGACAATAGACCTCAAAATGGCTGCTGTTTCCGGAATGTCATTCGTGGTCAAGTCATTGAATAGGTGAGAATCTCACCTTGTACCTCCGTAGTGCTCACCTGATGTCAGATTTAGATATCTGTTATTTTCGTTCCATCATCAAAATAATCTGGAACTCACAAGTTCTAAAAGACGGATTTTAATAGTGAATATCCAAAGTGTCAACGTATAGGGTTTCGTGTCTGATTGTTGGATGTTTTTCGTCCAAAGAGCGATAAACAGTGACAAAGCGTTGACGAAGTGAAATAGAGTGCGTAAAATTGACTAGAGAAAACAGGGCAGGCGGATGCACGTCCATATTGGAGGTATGACAAATCGAAAAGTTTATCACTGTTGTCGCCACGCTGTTTCATAAAGTCACTCCAGAGTCTAGTAGATATCTATCGATAAAGACTTGCTGTCATCATGGATTTTGATTGGAATTGATAAAAAGTGCTTTCATAGTGACAATAAAGCTCCATATTTCAGTTCACAGAACTATATTGATTGAAATATAAAAATATAATTCAATGAACATATCGGCAGCAACAAATATAATTCACTACCTTGGTGTATTAATAACTATTTATTATTTATGTAGGTGCGAACGAAGTGATGTGAGAGAAATGAGCTGAAAATGTTGCGTTGGGAAAGTTTCTTACGGACAACACCTTTTTCAGTTGTATTTCAATGAAATTGTTCACTTTCAGGATTCGACAATTGCAGTTCCGAATAGTCACTTGTGTTTTGAAATTATCAGATTGTATTGTGAGCACAAAATGGGAAAATTCACAGGGTGCTCAGTGCTCTCGAGATCTCTGTGGAGTGAACTCTAAATTGAACAACCATCAATGTCTTCTAGAAATTGACTATTCTGGAATTTCAGGTGAAAATGATGCTTTCTGAAATATATAGTTGGAATTGATGCCTTCTGGAATCAAATTGACCATTCTTAAATTCAATTGATGATTTGTGAAATTTGATTGACTCTTTTGAAATATGTGACTATTCCGAAGTACTAACCTAAAACCCAGTACACTGTTACGAACCGTTTCCTTCTCAAAGGTCTGTACATTTTTGAAATAAGTTTTGAAATTCACGATATTTCATAACATGAACATTAACGGGTGACTAAATCTACCGAGACTCATCCAATGTTACCATATAAGATTCGACTCACGTATTCAATCCCAACTTTTGTAAGACAAAGCAAGAATATTTTATGCTTGCCGTTCATCAAGATGTGGAATGAGCAATGACACCAAGTTGAAATCTAGTGCACAACTGATGAAACAGATAACCTGGAGAAAATCTTCAAATATTCGTAATATTTGCTAGACTGACTCGATAAGAAGATTTGAATGATGCTGAGGAAGTTGGGGTAAGATGATTAGGTGAGATTCATTCTTCTTGTCATGAGATTTCTCCCAACTCTAAGTTTTATGTCCCGTCAGAGTCACAGAAGAGTTTTGGTTTAGATAAAATCTTGAGCATTATCAAGAGTTTTCGGTTATTATGATTCGGCACTGAAGCATTTTGCAAGCTGAATAAATTTTCTTTGAGTGATCATTGGGGACCAGGTGGAACCATTGACTTCGGTCATAGATGTCATATTGAATCTCTTAAGGTAATGATGGGGAGCGTCGAAATAGTTGATTAATCTCTCATCTCATTGGTTGTTAAGAAATATATAGGTATTAGTGCAAATCGGTGGCATCGACACCTAGCATTTTCAAAATGGAGCGATTTCAATTAACTTTCGAAAAAATAATTCATGATGAATTTTAATAACGAATGATTGCATCGAATATTATTCATACATGAAATGATCAATATAAAATGGGTATTTTGCGTAAATTCGACTACAGATGGTTACAACCCCATAGATGATATCTGATATTCGATTATCGATTCTTTCTGGAATTTCATTGGCTCTCCTGAAATACACGTGACTATTCTGAAATACAATCGACGCTCTCTGAAATTCAACTGACTATTCTGAAATGCAATTGACAATTGAAATAAACGTGACAATTCCGGAATGAAATTGACGGTTTATGAAATACCTACAACTGGAGGAGGTGAAGTTTGCCATTAGTATCATATTATGTCACTTCAAAATTTCTAGTCGACCATCAATAGGAATTTGTTTTCGTGCGCTCCAAGAGATGAAAGAAAAAGTGATATCCTAGCATGTGGATATCATAAATATGCAACATTCTGGATTGAATATCACTGTGGATTGTATGTGAATAATTGTATGATTATTTTTGTGTTGTCTCGATGTTTACTTGATGAAAATCCATATTGAATTTGAGATACTTCACAAACGATGAGTCTCTCAATGTTCAATATATTGTACCAGTTCTCATTTCAATTGAAGTTACAAAGAATGTTACTTGTGCAGTTTCTTATATTTGAATTGTATGACGTATGACTCGTTCTGAGGTTGTGATGTCAGTTGTGATGACGATGAACGTACCTATTTGGTTTCATTGAATGAATTTCAAAAATTTTCAAACAACTACATATACCGTGATTATGTATTGTAAATATAACAACAAATTGTTTCGATTGTGATGACTAAAATATGTGTATATACAGTGTGACCCACTTAAGACCAAAGCACCCTTATAAAATCGATAGTTTTTGACCGATTTCTTCTTTTTTCGTTTCCACAGAAGGACTATCCAGAGATCTAAGTTTACACAAATTCGCAAAATCAAATTTCAATCTACAGGGCATACTATGTTATTTTTTCCATGTTCAAAATTGCGAAATATCATTAGCGATTTTTTCCAAAAAAAATCGACCCCACCACTGAATTTAGCATCCTTCAATCTGGTTGAGCGCAAAATTTCATTCAAAAATTTCAATTGGCAACAAAGTTATAACAACATTAAATTTGATTGCTCACCATTTTTAAAGAATATTTCGCACAAATGCTTAAAAGCGGCAACACAAATGTTGGAAATCATTGAAATTTCTGGTATACATTTGAATTGATATCACAAATTATTATCGAGTTATAATAATCATCATCAACCAAGAATTTTTGTATCGAATAATAACTTCATCCTAATTTTATCATTTCCAAATTTTCTACCAGACATCGTACAAATAAGTTCAATAATATACATCATTGAATAATCTCGGTCCATAACTATCTAGCCCTAATCAATACATTTCAAATTCTTGTTGCTTCCACTAAACCAACATTCAATTGAATACATTTTTTATATCTATTTTTCACGATGTTCTTCGAACATTATGGGGATATCCTTTCGTGCGCTTCAAGCGATCAAAAAAAAAATATTATCTTTGAGTCCTTCGGGTGTTACTTCCCTACAAGCTTGACGTTTCACACAGCTCCCGTCTAGTTCTTGGGCGGGTTTTGTAAACTTTTTGTACAAGAAAACCCCACAAGAAGAAGTCAAGAGGGGTTAAATCGGGGGACCTGGGTGGCCACTTCCTCGACCAATCCAGCGACGAGGGAACTGTTCATTCAGCCATTATCTGATAATCCTAGCATGATGCACTGGGCAGCCATCTAATTGGAAATGTAGATCATTCCAAAAGGGTGCCATTCTGGAGATTATAACTCGATAATAATTTGTGGTATCAATTCAAATGTATACCAGAAACCTCAATGATTTCCAACATTTGTGTTGACAATGTTACCGCATCTCAGAATTTGTCTGAAATTCATAAAAATGGTGAGCAATCAAAATTATTGTTGTTATAACTTTGTTGCTATTTGAAATTTTTCAATGAACTCTTGCGCTCAACCTAATCGAAGGATGCTGAATTCAGTGGTGTGAACGATTTTTTTTTTGAAAAAAATCGCTAACGATATTTCGCAATTTTTAACATGAAAAAAATAACATAGTATGCCCTGTAGATTGAAATTTTATTTTGCAAATTTTTGTGAACGTAGATCTCCGGATAGTCCTTATGCTGAAACAAAAAAAAGAGAAATCGGTTGAAAACTATAGATTTTAAAGGGTGCTCCGGTCTTAAGTGGGTCACACTGTATTTAGTTCGAACAGTTTCGTTGGTTACGTTTCATTATTTATGTTTATTTATGTTTCTACTTATTTATTGGCATCAGTGTAACTAACATACCTTTCAAATGAACTTCGGGAATTATCGCATTCTTGAAACGTGTGAAAAGTGTACTATATAAAATATAGAATTTTGGACATTCGAATAACTTGATATCATTTTTATATTAGTAAACGCATATCCAACAATATTTTCTTGATTTTGAATTATCCACTGACAAACCTAACCTCTATTTTGTTTGTTATAAGACATTCATAACGACTATATTGAACAATTTCTGAATGATAAGGTATATATACGAGACCACTTTATCTGTCATCTAGTAAGAAGGGCCTTGTTATGAGATTTCAAACATTATAATCCGCTATCTTGTTTTCGATAAACATGTTCGTCTGAAATTGCCAACTTCCAGACGTTTCGAATTGAATATCAATCAACCCCTTTATGCTATTCGAAAGACCTTCCATTCATATCCTCCATCGAAATCAATATCTAGACCTTGAACAGCAGAAAATTCCTGATAATTCAAAACTTAACTAAATATGGGGGGGAAGTTCCTATAGCAGGGGTGCAGCTCGTGCTGAATTTTATATAATCATTGAGAAGTTTGGATTTTCCAATTGCATAGCACAGTTTGAGAAAAATAAAATGTAGAAGTACTCAGTGTGTTGATCCATTAGTATCTACTCTTTA